CCCCAAAACCCCAAAACCCCAAAACCCCAAAACCCCGAACATGAAAAATAATATTGAATTTAGGAATTTAGCAGTAACCTTTAGCTATTATGTGCCCATCAGGGCGGACTAGGACACATCCTGGTCTAGTTGAGTCTAATCCTAGCTTTGTGCTTTGGACTTCAAACACTTTAGAGGTATCTTTGTCATTAGAAGCTGGATCTTGAGTGTTAAGAACATGAGCAATATGTAAACACTCTTGTGAAGAGTTCATGATTTTCTCAACCCATGTAGTATCTCCCTCTATCCATTCAATATCCTTAGTATCTTCTGAACTCTTGCCAAACTTGAAGAGGAAATAATAAGGTTTCTTTTCTTCATTCTGGTACTGATAAACATACTCTCTTGATTGGAAGACTTGCTTCTCGTGTGGACACCATAATGAGAATAGAGGGAGAAGAGAGCCTGTAGAATTAACAGGGATGTATTTCCTCTTATCATAATTTTCATTCAAAAATCTTTCCACTCTTTTCTCATGCTCGTCATCAACAGGGTATGAGTAGGAGTATTCCAGGTTTGGGAAAAGTAAAGCAATTCCATTCTCATAATCTTCTAAGTACTTTTTCTTCTCTTCAATCAAATGTGATTGCATTGACAACTTCAAAGCAGTACTTTGAGCAAAATTTACAGCAGATTTCCCAAAGGTTGAAGAAACAATTGAAGGAACAGAATCATAGATAGTTTTAGAGAAGCTTTTGAAGCTCCCAAGATCAACATTCAGCTTGTTTACAATATTCTCTCCTTTCTGAAAATTAATTTTAGCATATTTGGCAGTTAGTTTATTAATAAATCCTCTTTCTTTATTGTAAAATTTCAGACCCTCAGTGTTTGAATTATGTTCAGCATCTGCAATTTTGAATGCTAAATTATGGGCGTCACTGATTCCTGCGTTCATTCCGTAACCTCCGGCTGGAGGTACAGAATGAGCAGAGTCTCCAGCCAAATATACGTTTTTCATATGGTCTCCCATAACATCAGATGCGCAAGCAGACATTGTCCAGTGGCCAACGCCTAAGATTTCATCAATTTCTGTAATCTCAGGAGGTTCCAGATCAGGAGAAAAGAAGGTTCCATTATTTCTATCTGAATTGATCGAGCTCAGGACCATCCTTCTAGCTTCAGCATCAGTTACATCTTCAAGCTGCTGAATAGGAGGAAAATAAGGAGTCTGAAGTACAAATTCCCCATCTTCAGTGCTATGGTTCACTAAAATTGTAGCAATTTTAGTATTGTAGATAAAGTAAAGCATTGCATGCACGTTCTTCTTCTTAATAGCATCCCCAAGCTGCTTGCTTCTAAAATGAATGTTGATGAAGTCTGAGATTCCTAGATGACCTATGAGTTCGCCTCCGATAGATTCTCTGATCTTGGAATGAACTCCTTCACATCCAATAAGATATTTTCATTGAATATTCCGGATTTCACTATTTTTAATATCTACAGCTCTGACCCTGATTTTGTGATCTTCCTTACCAATCTCATAATCAATGAAGTTATGGTTGAACAGAAGGGGAGAATATCTTGTCTTTGTTTCATTATCTGTCAGCATCATCTTCTCTTGAAGCAGCCTGTCTTTGAGAACTCTACAGAATTTGTTTTGGGAAAGATGAACCACTTTGGATAAAGAGTATTCCTTAAATTTATCCATTTCCTTTTGAATTCCATCATTGAAGTGATTGTGAATACCATAAGGATCAAGGTCAAGAACATGTCTTCAGTATCTATAGCTTGTCCATTGTTCTCTTGGGGGAGCAGCATTAATTACATCTTGTTCAAGTTGCTCCTCAATTCCTCTCATTATCTCCATTGTTCTGGGCATGATCACATGAGCTTTTGGGTGAGGAGAGATTCCTGGTGCTCTTTCCAAGACTACTGAGTCTATTCCAAATTTCTTGAGAAGCAGGGACACGCTCATTCCTACTGGTCCTGCTCCAACAATTCATGCTCTTGTTTTTATATTGTTGGCTAGCATAATTAATTTAATTTAACAACAAGAGTAGAATATCTTGGGGTTTTGGGGTTTTGGGGTTTTGGGGTTTTGGGGTTTTGGGG